GATTACTTTTATAAGGAAATCTCTTCTCAAACTAGGAACACTTAAAGGGTTTCTCTTCTGGATGTGTTCTAAGGTGGCTAGTCAACTCATTCTTTTGAATAAATCCTTTGTCACAATAGGGACATCAATAAGGCTTTTCTCCACTGTGCATTCTTAAATGGGTATTAAGATTACTTTTGAAAGAAAAAACCTTATCACAAAGGGAACATTTATAAGGCTTTTCACCACTGTGTGTTCCTAAATGACTAATAAGAGTTCTTTTTTGAGCAAATCTCTTATCACACTCGGAACACTTGAAGGGTTTCTCACCTGTATGTGTTCTAAGGTGGCTAGTAAGATTACCCTTTTGAGAAAATCCTGTATCACAATAGGAACACTGAAAGGGTTTCTCTCCTGTATGTGTTCTAAGGTGTCTAGTAAGACTACGATTTTGAGAAAATCCTGTATCACAATAGGAACATTTAAAGGGTTTCTCTCCACTGTGAGTTTTTGAATGATTAGTAAGCTCACCTTGGCAAGAAAACACCTTGTCACAATTGGAACATTTAAAGGGTTTCTCTGCTATATGTGTTCTAAGGTGCCTAGTCAGCTCATTCTTTTGACTAAATCCTTTGTTACAATAGGGACATTGATTAGGCTTTTCTCCTCTGTGTAAATTTAAATGACTAATAAGATTACTTTTATAAGGAAATCTCTTATCACACTGGGAACACTTAAAGGGTTTCTCTCCTGTATGTGTTCTAAGGTGGCTAGTAAGATTACCCTTTTGAGAAAATCCTTTATCACAATAGGAACACTTAAAGGGTTTCTCTCCTGTATGTGTTCTAAGGTGGCTAGTAAGCGTATTCTTTTCATAAAATCCTTTATCACAATAGGAACATCGATAAGGATATTCACCAAAGTTCACATCAGTAAAGGTCTCAACACTGGAATGTAAACACGGATGGGACTTCTCTCCACTGCATGCTGTTATAAGTGAGTGTATCTTGTCCTGTCCATATTCCAAATCTGAGGAGCCTGGAAAAGAAAGTAATTCATATTTCTGTCATACGATTTTGTGGTTAATTTTCTCTCGATATCCATATAAAACGGATCCTCAAAGTGAGCGGAGCAAGGGTGGAAATAAGTATTCAGGGAGGCTGCCAAGATGAGGACACAGCAATTTTGTGACTAGATTTCAGCTGACGCAACTTAATTACAGATGCTAACAATGTTCTGTCATGATGTTTTTCAAATATACAAAGGACCTACTCAAATGTGTACAACCTTTATAGGATTGTTGTAATTTGAGCCTGTAACAATAGACCTTGGGAGAAAATGGTTACCGGTACCCTTTTTAAAACAACTTGGCTCCTAATACTATAATTTAAAAAAGAGAAAATATCCCCTTTACCAGTAAACAAAATCAATTCCACTTTGAAGAGCCTTTCAAAGAACTGCAATAAAATATATATATATATAAATGTTGTGTGTGTTATACAGTGCTGTAGGTTGTGAAAATAAATTACAATTCATACCTCCGATTTAAATCTATTATTTTATTCATTCATGAAAAATTCAATCAGCAACATTGAATAAATGCAATACATGCACTCCTATTTGAAATGGAGTCCTTGCAGTGAATTTTATATCATAAAACAGAATGGTTGGATTTTCATCCTGTAATTTTTAAAGGAAAATAGAGGTTGAAAAGCCAGTATAAATAACAAGTATAAATAAAATAAAAATTTTGTCAGATAGTTGGACAGATGTTGCAAATCTCTGACTATATCCCAAGAAGTCTGCATTGAAGGGAGATTAATGAGGGTATAGGAGAGAGAGAGAGAGATATAGAGAGAGAAGGGGTGGGGTGGAGAGAGAGAGAGACAGTGCAGAGATAAGAAAAGAGCTCACACCAGCAGCCTCGTTCGATTTGGTTGGTGTGAAACCCTTATCACACTGGGAACACTGAAAGAGAAGGTTCATTGAAATTTGGAGAATAGGCAAATTATACCTCTACAGATTGCTGAGAACATTAAAAAAATGAGTAAAGTACTTTTTAAGCCCTCACTATTGTGAGGAATAATTTTTTTAATGCAATTGATACCCTTTTCAGATCAGGTCATCATGGGAGAACAAATGAATGAAGATGATGAAGATCAGGTCATCATGGAAGAAGAAACAGGTAATGAAGATCAGGTCATCATGGGAGTACAAAGAGATGATGAAGAACAGGTCATCATGGGAGAACAAAGAGGTAATGAAGATCAGGTCATCAAGGGAGTACAAAGAGATGATGAAGAACAGGTCATCATATATAGAGGCAGAAAGAAGTAATGAAAAGGCTAGCCTTCCACAGGAATCTGCAGAGCATCTTCAATGTCTCCTGCATCATTTCAGGTAGATGTTGAGAGAGCTCTTGAAGTTCTACGGCAGCAAACAACAATGAAGAGTAAAAATCAGTTAGTGAAAGAAAAGAGGAATGCTGGTTACAATTATGAAAGTGAAAAAAACAAACTAAAACCAGCAAGGAGATCTGCTAACTACAAGACCTCATTTGAGAAATGGCATTCCAGGGGACTAAGTTGCAACACTCTAAGTAGAGAGGACCGTGAGGCCATCCGATCAGCTTTCTATAATCTAGGTGCCCTGACAGAGCAAAGGGAATGGATAGCGCGTCACACTGACCAGATTCAAGAGGCAGCGCCTAAGAAACTTCACAAATTTCCTTATTTCTTGCCAGAAGTGAAAGATCCATTCCACAAAGTCCCGGTATGCAGAGCCATGTTTTTGGAAACCTTGGGAGTTCCGAGAGGCAAGTGAAGACTGTATTTGCCAAGAAGCAGCCATGCAGTATTATTGAAGGAGAGAGACGTGGTGGTAGGAAGACCGTCGATAGAGATGCTCGATTTCGTGAAGAGGTTAAATGCCACATCAACAGATTTCCACGTCAGGAGTCTCATTATTGTTGTGCCAACAGTCGCTGTGAGTATCTGTGAGAGGATCTGAACGTAGAGATCATATATCGTATGTACCAGTCCACGACAGATGAATGTGCCTCTTTATCTCTGTACCGGAAGGTGCTTAATGAGATGAATATCAAGTTTCATCATCCAAAAAAAGGACATGTGTTCCTTACGCGGGAACCCAAAGGAGAGGCCTACAAAGCTCACATCATCGAAAACAAATGGTAAGAGAGTTGAAGACTATCGCTAAGAATAAAGCTTTAGTTGACCCCACTTTTGAGGCTGCAGTGTTTGATCTGGAACAAGTCATCTATTTGCCAAAGTCCCCACAATCGGACATTTTCTACAAGCGTAGACTGAATAGACTGAGCAATCATAACTTTACAATACAGTGCGTCCCAGATAAAACGAAACCGAGAATTATCGATGTTTTATCATAAATTAATCACAATTATAATTGATAAATGACACATATTTGGAAAGCTTAGATCCTCCTCTTTCATTTGATGCAACTCATAATGATGCATATTTCACGCATGAGTGATTATAATCAATTTGAAGAGAGGAAACCGAAAAGTCGTTTGGCGGGCTGTATCTAAATTTCAAAGAGAAAATCACATTTCTAGAAAGTTGAGTTTCTGCCCTTTCATATGACACCTCATTCAGGAAAAATGAGCTAGGAATAACAAAGTTCTGTTTGTTTAAAGTAGTGCTTGCATTTCCATAATTTGATTAAACGAACTCGTTTTCACTGGCAGCTGCTTTATCAACAAAAAAAATTAATAAAAGACTTAACTCCATTTCGTTGACAATCAGCCGTAGACGAAAGACTTCATGCATGGCTGATTGTCAACGAAACGGAGGTCCAATTAAGCGACATCGATGATTGGAAGTCTGTACGCCAACATAAAGGCATTCTTCGAGAATGTACTTCTGAGGCTGGACAGAAAGTTGACAGGAGGAAATTCATGGCTATGACGATCTTGAAAGGTGAAGTGGAGTCCATACACTTCAAATATTCTCATACTGATGCAGAATTTGACGCGATCAGGACAAGCCAAATACGCAGAAGCTTGAAAGAGGTCACTGAAATAACACCTCAACCACTGTACCAGAATGGCCCGCCGAAGCTATCTTTGGGCAAACATCAGGATCTCAAAGATCTCTGCACTGGCACCACACCTGTTGTGTGGCACCCTGCCCATCAGGCCTTTTATGAACATCTCCCTCACAAATAAAACATGTTGTTCAATGTTTGTGGTTTTAATGGTATCTCGAAATTGAATGTATCTGACTCACGCCAGAAATAGTATCTGTTTCTGTCTGTACAAAATGCTCATTTTGAAAATTTTGAAGACTGTAGAAAACTGTAGAAATGTCCTCATAATATTAACATCGGGTTTAAATTTGAAATTATTGTATTGAAGTGATAAGATGTCATACATTTGTATTGTTGTTTTAATTTCCAGTTAAAATCAGGAAGCAGTATTGGTATCAAATTCACAAGGTACAGAATTGACAAATTAAACGATGAACAAGAATTAAATGTCATTATATGAACAGAGAAATATTTATTTCAATACTGCAAAAAATTACGTCCATTTTGTCGCGATTGTGAAGAGTTGCACATTTCACTGCCTTGTGTATCTTCCACAAATTATGCCTTCTTTCATTGGTACAGACAAAGGTATTCCTCTATACAGCTTAAAGAAATTGAATCATCAGAAAGGATTTCTGGATGACTGTTGGCATGACAATGACTAATAAAATTACAATTTCCTTTTATATACATAACCTCTACCCTAAAAAAGCCTATAATGAAACATTTTGCTAACGTCTGTGGGTGTAGTTATAACTCAAAATGAAATCTACTTGACTCATATAAGAATACGTTTCTGTCTGTAAATAATGCATGTTTGAACATTTTGAAATCTACTATGGAAATGTGTTCACAATAAACACCGGCTTGAAATTTGAAGTTATTGTACTGAAATTATATGATATTCTTGTTTTGATTTTAAATTAGAATGAAACAAGCCGTATTGATATTGTCGGGATGTGAAAGTTTTAGATCAAGGTCTTTAAAGAGAGACTAAAGTTAGGAATGCGAGGTACTGAAGGAATGCTAACGTATGGGGAGTGGTTAATCACCTGTTAGGACCGTATCACTGAAGGAGTCTTTAGTAGTAATGTCCTTACTCGATGTTAAATTAGTTAATTGATATGAACGGAGATACATGTGGAATTAACGCTTCAAAAAATCTTAGCGGAAGGATTTTATGTTACGCTTTGAGTGTAAGCTACTCTCGAGCGTGGGTTTTCTAATACGTGCTCATTGCCATCTAAAGCTATGCTGAGGGAACGGTGTGCAGTCACCAGTAGGCTGAGAAAGTTTAATTGTAAGTTGCATTACTTTGTATCATAGGTTGAAATTACATTGGTAATATGAATTATACATCATGTTGCATGTGGGTGAAGTTTTGAGAAGATTTATATGCACAGTTTGATATATATTTTAGTGATGTTGGTTCATTGAACATGTTTTTAGTGCGACCATGTTTATTTAGTATCGTAGAGGGCTCTCTGAATGTAAGCATAAAAGATGGCGGCGCCCACTAGCCGTACTTTGTTAGGTGTAATCAAGGGTTGTTAAAAAGGAAGCTTTAACACTGATTGAAGTTAGTATAATAATATAAATTGATTGTAAGCTTAAATGATATATTAAGTGAGATGATTATTTAGTTGATGGTCTTGTAAATGCAGGCATAGTGGAGCTTTTGGAGTGATTTACTTACAAAATGTAATTGTTGTTTTATCCTCAGTGAGTCTACATTGAACGAGTATCTGTAGCTGAAAGCCGACTGGTTTTTGCTAGTTCTTCAAGTGACCTTGGGTACGAGTCAATTTATTATGTAATATGATATTTAATTAAGGGTAAATGAAAACACTTAGGAATGATTGTATGGTTTGTATTTGAATACCGACAAAGTTAACGTGGTTCGGTTTAATACTGATATTGCTGATATGATACTGATAGGGTGATGAATGATAGTGAATCTATTGGTAATGTAAATATTCTCCTTATGCCTTGAGAATCTGTTACTGTTTAGGGAGGTTATTATTCAAGATACATTTCTGGGATGAGTGTTTTTCCTAGTAGTTAGCAGTTGCTGTGTGTTATTAATATTTGATAGCAATGGTTTGATAGTATTGATTCGATGATGGCATCATCTGTAAATGTGGCTTTTAATGGAAAGTTCTATAAACACAAAAGGATTTCTATGGATATTGGAAATATGTTTAATGGTTATTATAATGATCTAGGTAGGTCATATTACTAGGCATCCTTTGTTAAGATTGAAGACTGATACAATTAGGATACTGGTAATTATTGAAGCTTGGATGCATTTGATAGTGAAAGTATTGAGCTCTTTAATATTTCTGATTTCTGTGGGTTAAATTTGCATTAGTTGCAAGGGACAATGTTTTGCTGAAACAATGTTATACATGTTTATCTAGTGTCTGATGATGATGTATATATCATATCATTTGCAATGAAATGTTCATTTTGTTTCTGTTTGTTCTTCGCAGGGTTTCTTATTTCTTTGCTTTATTGCTTCGCAATAAAAGTAATTGAACTTCAGATATCTGTCACGACTCCTTCATTTGAGTAACCCGAGTTACTAATCCTACTCATCCCGGTGGAGCTCACCCCTCCCCACCCCCCGACAAGTGGCGTCATGGACAGGATAGACGACAGAGGAAGGACAGAAACCCCATTGTCTGCAGGAAGGAAGCTTCGGACTGATCTGATGTGGATGACTCTGAGTGACTGTTCCAAGCGAGGACGAGATCACCAAGACGACGCCAGGCCTGAAGGACTGCTAAGGACTGATTTACAGTTTGGTTGGTGTAGCGATAGCATCAGACCTGAGAGAGGACGTCAAGAGCTAGACTGATCAGTAGGAAGCTTAATTTGAGCTGATTCGACAAACACCGGACTTTGAGTCTTTAACTAAGGGTAAAAGTTACAAGAGTTTTGTAAGTGCATGTACTTGTATATTTACTGATGCTCTAGATATTGACTTGTACATATACTTACCTTCTTTTTCCCTTGTGTGAAAAGCAGCCTTTGTAACGATGGCGGATGTAACTCAAGTGATTTCAGCTCTCACTGAGGCACTTCAAGGACTGAGTGTTCAGCACACACCGCCTCCAGTGAGACTGAGTAAGTTTAGGGGTCCACCGAAAGCTGCCGGAGACCTTGCTTTACAAGAATGGAGTGATGAGTTCAGGAGTTACGCCACTCATTATCGGCTGACTGGAGAAGCGAAGGCTCAAGCACTCATTGACAACTTGGCTGGAGTAGCGAAGGAGGAAATCCTGTGTCGAGAATATTCAGTACGTAAGGATAGTGAGCAGATTATCAAGGTATTGAAGTCTTTGTTCTCGCCTATTGAGTCGGTTCCCTCCATCAGCCAGGCCTTCCACAATCGCGATCAACAAGATGGAGAAAGCCTAGCAGATTTTAGCCGTGCTTTGATGAGGCTTTACGATCGAATGGAGAAGGCAGCTGGAGATAAAGAAGATAGGAATGCCATGAAGCGGCTTAAGGACAGTTCGCTCAAGGAGCGATTCGTACGTGGGGCAAAGGAGAAGTGGATTCATCGCGAGCTGCGTAGAATAGAAATGGCCTCGAAGACGAAGACCTTTCTTGAGATGAGGACAGAAGTTCTAGAGTTCTTTGCTGGTGAGGAGCCTCTTCGCAAGCCGAAAGTACATGATCTTGAGGTGTACGCCCAGAGTGCCGACATAAGTTCTCAAGCAAAGCGTCAAGAGGAGTATAGTCTTAGAACTGAGTTAGCTGATCTGAAGAATGATGTAGCCCTACTCACAAAGAGTGTCCAAGAGCTGGTCAAGGAGAAATTGACTCATGGTCAACATGCTCCGGTAACACAGAGGAAGGCTCGGAGGAATAAGTGCTATAATTGCGGAGAAGTTGGACACTCTCGTCAGGATTGTAAGAATGAATGCATCTGCTATAGCTGCAAGGGTAGAGGACACTTTGCGAGAGATTGTCCTGCAAAGATGGCGCAAGAGACATCCATCCCGGCAGCCAAGAATGTTCGTGCTCCTTTGACTGCAAAGACTGAGCTACTGGGTCGGCTGGTTGCGCCCTGTCCATGCAGTGAGGTACAGATTGCTGGCTTGGAGATTGGGTGTATTTTGGACTCTGGAGCACAAGCATCAATAATCCCTGCTTCCGTGTACGATCGATTTTTGAAGGATAAGCTTGGTGAGCCTCAGCAAGCGGATGGTCTCTTTTTGCATGTTCAAGGAGTAGGAGATATAGAGGTACTGATTGAAGGATTCATAGAGGTACCGATATCAATACTTGGACAGAAGTTGCAAGGGAGTTTCCTGGTGGTTGCAGACCGTGCTCGTCCCGTCGATGATGCTGAATACCCTATCTTGGTAGGCTGCAACATCCTTGATCGTCTCAAGAATGAATCGCTTCTTCCTACTGTAAGATTGGCGATGTTACAGAAGAGGAAAGAGAGTCAAGAGCAAGTACCAATTTCAGCGAGTTTGATTAGAATACATACCAAAGGGAGTGAAGTGATACCCCCTTTTTCGGTTCGAAGAGTAAGTTGTGATGTAGCTGGGAGTAGTTTGTCAAGCAGTGACATTATAATCTGCCCGACATCAGACAACAGGGAGACTACTGTGCAAGTCTATGAGGGATATCATCAAGTTGAGGATGGAGCTTCTCTGGATGTACTACTGGCGAATAACAGTAGTAGGGAACTACACATCCCCCCTTCGACGGTAGTTGCCGAGGCCTCATCGGGGGCAAGAAAGGCTGAAGTTGTACTGGATATTCAGGATGATAGTATAACTCCTTCATTTGAGTAACCCGAGTTACTAATCCTACTCATCCCGGTGGAGCTCACCCCTCCCCACCCCCCCCCCCCCCCCGACAATATTAAATTTCACATTGTACAAAATTGCCAAATTAAATGATTAATTAGAATTAAATATAATAATATTACGGTGAAATTGTATTTGAATAATGCAAAGTTACATCCACTATCGTAATGAGTTGCCTATTTAATACTCTGCAGATTTCAATGTCTGTGGTTTTAATTGTAGCTCGAAATTGAATGTATCTGACTGATGTCAGAAGTAGTATGTTTCTGTCTGTACAAAATGCTCATTTTGAACATTTTGAAATTATTTAATGTAGAATGTGCTCATAATACTGTCAACATTAGCTTTAAGTTATTGTGTATTGAAAATGATACAATGATATACTATTGCTTTAAGTGCCAGTTAGAATCAAACAAGCCGTATTGGTATCTAATTCACAGAATTGACAAATTAAATGATAAACAAGAATTAAATATCACTATATGAGCAGTGAAATTTTTATTTGAATAATGCAAAATTTTCATCCATTTTTGTCGTGATTGTGAAGAGTTGCGCATTTTACTGCCTTGTGTATCTTCCACAATTATGCATTCTTTCATTGGTAAGGATAAAGGTATTCCTTTTCACAAAAAAGGTCTATAATGAGATATTTCATTAAATTTCAATGTCTGTGATTGTGGTTGTAACTCAAAAACGAAATCTATCCGACCCATGGTAGAATAAATACGTTTTTATCTGTAAATAATGCAAGTTTTTGAACATTTTGAAATTAACTGTGGAAATAAAATGATCAGATGAATTCAAAATAAAATATTAAGATTGTTATAAATGAAAAAATTTGTTTCAACTCGTTATTTAGAACTGAATTGTCAGTTTTTTTTAAGTTTTTTTTTTTATATGTATAATAGAGTCACTATATGAGTATATCTTCCCAAATACACTGTTGTGCATGAAATCTGAATTTTTCCTTTAAGCTTTTTTAAAATGAAAGACTGGGCCAAATATTTATTATTCATGGCTAAAGTTGTATTCATCTCAGAATGTAACAGTGAACTCTAAAGAGTCATGGGGATCGCTAAAAAAAAGTTATGAAAGGAAATGAACCTTATCTATCAGAAGATCATCAAAATGTCGCATTTTAAAGAAGAAAAAAACTTTTAAAATGTATCCAAAGTAAATGGGCAACAGTGAACTTTTCATGGAAACACTAAAGCCTATATCTTTGGAAAGGAGAGTGAAAGTAATAATTAATAAAAGCTAATGTAATGTATGAATTTTGAGAGGAGGATTGATCTCAAGAAATGTTTTCTCTATGAGGAATTAGATAATGATTCAAAGGGGGCACGTTGAGATTACAAACACAGGTATTAAGATAACAGTATAAGAAAGTAACAAATGAACAGCTAGATACAGTGCATTTACTTTAATTAATGTAAACAACAAAGATGCCCTATACTCTGAACCTTATTTGTTCATAGTTGTAAAATGTCTTATTTAAAAGCAATATACTTAAATCATAGTTTCTGGGAGATTTTGTTCAACTTCCATTTAGTTTGTAAACTGCTGGGTTGCACTTTTAAGAGCAAACAGTTCGTGGTGACATTCTCCTATTGCCATCGCGCAGTTCATCTTTACCACAAACCGTCCTCTATGTTTGTAAACATTTTAATGTATCAAAACACGTAATGGATAAAAAAGAATCGATGCTGAGTGAGAACAAATATGTCATGAATTACTTTTATCACATTTGGTTATATTTAAACTCCCTTAGTCCTTTCAGAAAATCCTTTATCACAATAGGAACACTTAAAGGGTTTCTCTCCTATACCGGTATGTGTTTTCAGGTGCCTAGTAAGCTTAGTCTTTTAAGAAAGCCTTTTATCACAACAGGGATACAAGCTGATAAGGCTTTTCTCCACTCTGCGTTCTTGAATGGTTTCTAAGGTTCATTTTGCTAGAAAAAACCTTATCACATGGGAACAAGGTTTCTGTTCTGTATGTGTTATAAGATGGCTACATGTAATAAGCTTAGTCCTTTCTGAAAACTCCTTATCACACTGGGAACACTCAAAGGGTTTCTCTCCTGTATGTGTTCTATGGTAGCTATCATACATTTTAGGAAATCCTTTATCACAATAGGAACACTGCTAAGGCTTTTCTCCACCGTGCGTTCTTGAATGGGTAGTAAGGTGACTTTTGCTAGAAAACCTTTATCACAATGGAAACATTTATAAGGCTTTTTCACCACTGTGTGTTTTCAAATGAATAATAAGATGACCCTTTTGAGAAAAACCCTTTTCACACTGGGAACACTTAAAAGGTTTCTCTCCTGTATGTGTTCTAAGGTGCCTAGTAAGCTCATACTTATGGGAAAATCCTTTATCACAATAGGAACACTTAAAGGGGCTCTCTCCTGTATGTGTTCTAAGGTGCCTAGTAAGCTTAGTCTTGTCAGAAAATCTTTTTTCACAATTGGGACACTGATAAGGCTTTTCACCACTGTGTGTTCTAAAATGAATAATAAGAGAGCCTTTTTGAAAAAAATCCTTATCACACCGGGAACACTTAAAGGGTCTCTCTCCTGTATGTCTTCTTAAATGGGTTCTTAGGTAACTGCTGTGAGCAAAAATCTTATCACACTGGGAACATTTATAAGGCTTTTCACCACTATGTGTTCTTAAATGACTAATGAGAGTACTTTTAAGAGAAAAACCTTTTTCACACTGGGAACACTTAAAAGGTTTCTCTCCTGTATGTGTTCTAAGGTGGCTAGTAAGCTTAGTCTTTTGAGAAAATCCTTTATCACAATAGGAACACTTAAAGGGGCTCTCTCCTGTATGTGTTCTAAGGTGTCTAGTAAGCTTAGTCTTTTCAGAAAATCTTTTTTCACAATTGGCACACTGATAAGGCTTTTCACCACTGTGTGTTCTCAAATGAATAATAAGAGAACATTTATGAGAAAAATCCTTATCACACCGGGAACACTTAAAGGGTTTCTCTCCTGTATGTGTTCTAAGGTGGCTAGTAAGTTCAAACTTTTGAGGAAATCCTTTATCACAATAGGAACACTGATAAGGCTTTTCTCCACTGTGCGTTCTTGAATGGGTTCGAAGGTGACTTATGATAGAAAATACCTTATCACATTGGGAACATTTATACGGCTTTTCACCACTGTGTGTTCTTGAATGGGTAGTAAGATTACTTTTGAAAGAAAATACCTTATCACACTGGGAACACTTAAAAGGTTTCTCTCCTGTATGTGTTCTTTGGTGGCTAGTAAGCGTACTCTTTTGAGAAAATCCTTTATCACAGTGGGAACACTTAAAGGGTTTCTCTCCTGTATGTGTTTTAAGGTGCCTAGTAAGATTAGTCTTTTCAGAAAATCTTTTATAACAACAGGGACACTGATAAGGCTTTTCTCCTGTATGTGTCCGTAGATGCTTTGCTAGATTACTTTGGCAAGAAAAACCGTTATCACAATAGGAAAATGGATAAGGCTTTTCTCCACATTTCTCATCAGTCAATGTCTTACTGCAATGTAAAGACGGATGGGACTTCTCTCCACTGCATGCTGTTATAGGTGAGTGTATCTTGTCCTGTCCATTGTCCAAATCTGGGGAGGAAAAGAAAGTACTGGTAAGTCATGTTTCTGCCGTATGATTTTGTGGTTAATTTTTCTCTTAGTAGCCATGTTGAAAGGATGCTTACAGCGAGCGGAGCAAGTGTAGCAGCAAGTGTTCAGGGAGGCTGCAAAGATGAGGACACAGTAATTACGTGACCCGATTTTTTAGCTGAAGCAACTCACAGATGGCAAAAATGCTCTGTCATCAAGATTTTCAAATATATAAAGGACCTACTCAAATGTTTACAACCTTATAGGTAATGCAAAGTTTCGGTATGGGGTCATGATTTTGGTTCAAATGAACATATTGGAAGCATATGCGATCCTACAATATTAAGTGATCGTTGTCACGGTTGAAATCGAGTCTAAAGTTATAAAATTGTAAATAATATACTTTTTATGTTGTATAGGTCCCTCTCAAGGCCAAGATATTAATTAAGCTACGGTATACAACAATGTTTCTTGACTAAAATCGATCGATTAGCTATTCCTGTTTCGAAAATATATATCACAACTACATATTCTGAGATTTTCATGGTCGCAGCTACCATTGTACGGCACTATTTGAAATTCATCAAAATTTACCGGTAGCACCAGTACATTTTTATATTTCATTTTTCTCGAAAGCAGAAGTGTTTTAGGGGCTAAATTTCTAGTGCTTACAATAATTCCAATTGTTTGCTCTACAGCGTGAGTCAAAAAAAAGTTTACACCTAGAAAATTGCTAATTATTTAAAAAATCATCTATCAACAGTAAATTATTATACATCTTATGAAAGGGTGTTTTATCCCAAATCATTTGGTACCATTTTTGAGTGGTATGTGTTCACGCTTGGATGAACAGGAGGCATTGTTGTATATTTTGATAGATTTTTGTATAATTGTCATCCCTTGTCTGAGGTAAGCCTCTTTATTGAGAAATTCGAAATGGACAAGGTTTATTTGATATACTATCCTCTTTCCTTAATGTCTACTGTTCTTGAGGAGTTATCAACATATGCATTCTTCTTTGCATTTGAGTTTAGTTACTTTTGACTTTTTTGTGATATTTACGATAAATGCCTTATTTGCCTAATGTTTGTGAAATGATGCAATGGACAAGTTGAGTGGAGAGATCTTGGATATCACAACAAGACAAGAAATAAGTTGACTGTTGGAAATAATCTAAGGTTATCTTATGGTCTGTTGAAAGCTTAGATACCGTTGCCTTGCTTTAAACAATAACTCACTCAAGCAAGAAGAAAAATTGAAGTTTTTGGATTTGAGACCAAATGTCACATATGTATAATTGTATATGGCTTGATCCACATTGGTTGGATCAGCCCAAACTTGGTGCAAAGAGATTTTAACAACACTCAAAGACCCTGTGCTCTGAAACCCATAGCACCAAAAACAAGATGGACCTCGACTGCACGAAATCAAAAATGATGCCTCCATCATAGAGCAACTTTTACGAAGCAAAACAGAAGCAATTTGTGAATACCAATTTCAACAATCCAAAACTGTCGTATTGTCTATTCTATTTTTAAAAACTTTCATTGTTCTGATATTGATTTTTCTGCTGTCGGCACTGATTTTCTCCAAATAATCAAAGAGGAATTCCATGCTCATATTAAGTTGGATTTGGAAATTACAGATCGGTGAAAATTTGAGCAAAATCCAATAAAAAACTAGAAATATTGCAATCTCCATTGCCGCAATATATATGCGAATGCATCCCCTGACACTGGCAGCGATTTTCATGTCATCCTTATGTTTGAAGGATCGACAAAGATCCCTTCCCCAATCCCTGAAACAAAAGGATGACGTAGATATCGCCAATAGTGGCTCAAACTATTGTCAAGACAAGGGGCAGCATCACTAAAGTAGATTTTACTAAGACACACCTCCATACAAAATTTGAAAGAAATCCGTCAAGAAATGTGGTAGTTAGAGCGCATAAGAGACATATGACATTTGACCCTATAAAAGACGGAACAATGAGGGCAGGATCGGGCTTAAAGGTAGATGTGTAGATTGTACCAAGTTGCATTTCCATACAAAATTTAAAAGAAAATCCTTCATGAAATATGACCTGCAGAGTGCACACAAGACATCTATCAAAATATGACCTTTGACCCTATAGAAGATGGAACACTAGGCTTGTAAATTATACCAAGATACACCTTCATACACAATTTGAAAGAAATTTGATAAAGAATGTGGCAGTTAGACGACGCACAAGAATATGAAGCAGCGTCAGAGGCTGTGCGACGCTACTGAATCCAAATTATCCACTGGTATACTGCCGGGGAATACAATAAGAAAGTTATGAGTTATTGAAGGTGCAATCAACACAAATTTGCAACACTGTGATGTATCTTGTGAGCTTTCTTCCCATTTGCCCTGTACTATGAAACTTCAATACCGTAAATCTCTGAGTATAAGGCGCACTTTTTTCCGTCTGGAAAAATCAAAAGTCGGGGGTGCGCCTTATACACAGGTACAGGATATTTTGAGTCCTCATAGTGCTACTTTTTAGTGGTTTTTCGAAAATCTCTGTGTCTCAACATGAATTGCATAATACAAATCAAGAATAGAATCTACTATTTGAAGTAAAACTACGTTCCTAATTTGAAGGGGAGAGATTTTTTTTTCTTTTTCAGTCTCGATAAATTATGCCCTTCACAAAGCACTTTGCCGGCAGAAGCTCTCCCGTGTCTCACTTACACGGGGGCAGATTTGGTATCCTACCACGATGTGCGGTGTAATACGAAATTGCGACTTTAACCTGCGCAGTTGTGTTGCGCGGCATCTGCTAGCTTTGTAAGTAGTGCTGTAGTCAAACGTTAACCGTCCGGTATCCGACCGCCCATGGCGGATTCCGTTTTCAATTGGACGGTTTCGGTTTCCCGTTTTTTTTTGTTTGTTTTGTTTTCAATTTTTTTAATTTTGTTTTTGTTTTTGTTTTTGTTTTTTTTTTTTTTATAATTTTTTTTTTTTAAAGTTTCGATTTATATATGCCCCTCCACCTGGTACTATGCCTGGCAATGTCTACCAGCTCAGTAATCTGTGCGTTGACTCACCACTCCGACACTAGAACAACACTCCCATTTGTCTTTTATCTTGGTTTGAAAGTAATCTTTGTAATAGATCTCAATATGTAGTTTATAATAATAATTCATCCAACTTTTAAACACGGCGTACCACAAGGTTCTATCCTAGGTCCTCTAATGTTTTTAATTTACATTAATGATCTTACACATTCTTCTTAATGTTCTTTTGAATGAATATCCTTCCCGCATGGGTTTTTTTCACAGTCGGTCAAAAAAACAACTAAAATTTTTTTTTTTTTTTTTTTTTTTTTTTTTTTTTTTAAATTTTTTTTTTAAATTTATTTATTTATTTATTTTTTTTTTTTAAATCGTTCAAACGAAAACCGTCCGGTTTTGACTGGCGGTTAAACGGAATTGGAGATATCCGTGATGTTACAGCACTATTTGTAAGTAAAGATCTTTCACGTCCCTTCTTTTACTTTTTTGCGATGCAATGGTACAGACTTAGATCTAAATCTACCGGCAGATTTTATTAGAAAAACAAGTTATGTAGTTTATTTTTGCTTCATATCAACAGTGCAACATAAAATTGTCGGTAAGTTGTGTGGAGTTATTCTAGAAATGTCCTGTACCAAAGGTCTAACTTAGTTCACAAGTACTTCAACTGTGCCTCGTAACAAAATGAAAGTATTTCCGAACGCTGAAATAAGACGGGATCTGATCTGGTTTTAACAAAAAGCCAAAAAAGCCACAAAAATCCAAAAGAATTTCCAGATTTTATGCTTCTTCCTGATTTTTTTTTAGAATATTTTTTTTTTTAAGTCTTTAAAATAGGGGTGCGCCTTATACTCGGAGATTTACGGTAATACATAATTTCAATAGAAAATAATCAATCATACATTCACCCTTAATATAATAATCAAAAATATGTTTCTATTCCAGCACTGTATGAAACAAATCTATACTGTCATCAATAACTAAGAAAATGAAAGTTCATGAATTTTCTGTAGAGAGTAAATTGGGGAGGAGCTTGGAAGATACATCACATTGTTGCAAATTTGTGTTTCATTGATGTTAACTTTCAAAAAAACTTTCCTATTTTTAATCAGATTTTCTTCAAACTTTCATTAATTTGTTTCTCTCATTTTCTACTTGCATTAAAACCAATTGAATATCAGGATGGACTTCCCCTTAAGGATTTGCCTTGAAAATGAAAGAATGTTGATCATACCTGCAGGAATTGATTGCTCAGTTTCTCCTCCTCCTTCACCTCCAGTTGTAAAAGGTTCAAATATCTCTTCCTCATCTTCTTGCTTTATTATGATGGTGGCATAGATCGTTTCTATAAATGAGGGAAATCAAGAAGAAATCTTCAACATGTTTCTTTTTAAAGATGTTCAAGCTTGGTTACTGTATATAGAGCGCAGCACACGGACGCCGCCATAAGCTCCCGAAGGAAACTCTGTGTGTACATCGGAGCGGTTTTGGAGTATTGCGCGTAATACTGTAATAATCGTACATAATGCAGTCATAGGAAGGCAGTGGTACAGGTACAGTGCATACACAGTGAAATGTCATGTACGCGTACGTTGCGTGCTTGCTAAACGTGAACAACGCCCGGACTATAATGACAATAATACATAATAAAATCTTTGAATTCCCATAAAATATCACATAAAACTTGCAAAATTAAATCATTAAAAAAAAATTATTTTAATGAACTATGATAATTTTAAATGTATTTGATTAATCACATATCAATACATTCTATATTTTAAAACTAAATTACAAACAGTCTTTGAACCTCAGGATAAATTGGGCGCGTACGACTAGACTCAGTCGTTCATGAAGGGCGTTGTTAGTCGTTCATTATTTGTCGCTCTTTCGCATCATTTGACATTTAATTCAGGAGTGTGTCATCCCACAAATGCTATAGCAAACATTTGCGGATTATTTACTCTTTATAAAGGAATAATAGGCTATAAACGTTAAGAATATGCTGCATTGTGGCGTGGCTAGCCGCGTCTCGCATGTGACTTCACAAATCTGGACGCTCTACGGAGGACCCCTGAAGGTAGAAAAGATGGATCTCAAAGTTAACATTTTTGAGAGATGATTACTGCGGGCGCCAAACATCTTTTAGACAGAAAAGTTGTTATATTTGATCAGTAAGGCTTCCCCTTTGCAATGATATAAATTTTCGATGTATTAAAAACACCTTTGATTCTTCAGGTGAGTCCTTTTATTAATTGACTTCCTTGTCGGGTCCACAAGGGGCTTTAACAAATTCAGAAACAGATTAATGTTCATTCCCACCAAAAAATAATTCAATAACATGAGGTATAACATTTGTTTGAAAAGCTTCAAAATGAAGATCACATTGCACCAGAGTGCATCTATAAACCCTTGAGCCCAGCCACATTGGACTTCATGCAATGCATGTATCAGTACACACTCATTTTATGTTCCCAATTTTACATTTTGTTTTATTTGTTGTTTTTTGTTGACCACCATGAGCGCCATTGTACAATAGAATTCTCTTCATAACTTGATGATACCGTACCTTGTTCAGTCGATGGGTCTTGTCCTCCTGTACTTGAGAGGGATTCAAACATGTCTGCATCAACTTCTTGTTTGATGGTAAAGACCATACCTGTTATGAAAAAAAGTAAAGATATTTTCATACATCGATCCAATGATGTGCCTTTACAAATATATTATTTGTTCCAATGCACAAAATGAATAAAACATCAATTTTTCAAAATCGATGGCCCTGGAGTGTCTTTTCTTTTTAGAGAACCTTTAATATTAAACATGTTATACAAAATACATGTTTAGAGAAAAACTGAAGTTTATGTTTTTTTGTGTAAACAACAAACGGGGGATTTATCTGTGACTATGTCACAATCCAGTAACCATATCGCTGACTTTGAGATTCGCATAGACTTAGTGACATCATATTTTAAACATTCATAACTTTCTTATTTTTTGTATGACTTTGTTCTAACTTTCAGCAATACAATTATTTTGTTGCTTTCTCTTAATGTTGTTGATTTGCTATCAACGTTTAATTTTCCTTCAAGAACCTATAGCATACCATCATGGATTACAAGCTGACCCTCATCTATCAATGTATGATTTTCCTTTAAGAACCTATAGCATACCATCTTGAGTTACAAGCTGGCCCTCATATCTCAGTCCATCTGAACCTGGAATGGAAAGACACGTCTCCTTCTCAACTTCTCCTTCCTCCTTGATGCAGATGTTTCCTGTTTCATGTAAAAATAAAAATCATTAAAACTCTTGATCACTATAGATTTACCATTTCTCTAATACAGAGTGAAGTAGATACGTTATTCAAGAATATGCAAATTTTTTTTTTTTTTATAATAACGTTATGTATTACCGTATGCATCTTTTTAGAGATTGTATTGGTGCAAATGAACATTCTTGATTCTCAGCTAGTGGATTGACTTGTTTTGAATAAATCTTAAATATTTCTTGTTCTTCGTGATATGATGTGTATAAGGTGAGAGAATGAAGGTTGTATAAGTTAAAGATGCATTTCAGCGGGCTCTCACTAGGGAATTGGACACCATTTGGGCGCATTTACCAATAACAAGTGTTGTCAATCACCAGGATTAGCCTTCAGTTTTATGACCAACAGGCATTATGTAATGCTCTGCTTATTCCACCCATCCTCATATGGTAAAGCCGTTATCTTACAGTTTCCACACCCACACCCAAAGACTCTCAGAACAACTAGGGGGTATTTCTCAATGGGAATAATTAAGGTTTGCTGTATCATGTGAAACTTGTACAGTTACTACACACCCATCAATGGTATTTCCACTATTAAAGTCTGGTGTCAGCGAATTAAGACCTTCTGCACATGGAAATTGACAGCAATCATTAGCAGAACACATTAAAACACTCCATACCTTCATCATGTTCATGTGATGACTGAAGAGTTCCATCTCCCTCTCCATCTGTACTTGAGAGAGACGTCCAACAATCGGTTCCTTGCTTCATCGCCATGTTATCTGTGAAACAATATGGGAAAATACTTGATAATATGTTTTGCCTTCTCATGAAATAATCATTGTCATCGAGAGTGTACAAACACACCTGCATGTTAAGTCTTGGGGGAGGTGAATCCCCTAAAGGCATCACATGAAATAAACCCCTATGTACAGAGTGAATGAGCAGTGGCTTATTTCACAACATGCCATAGCAAGTTCATTGTTCCACTGACTGGACTTGCAAATGAGTTTACCAGGCACCGAGCCACTGTGGCTAGCTAGGAGAGTGTTATCAGGTTCCATGTGCAGAAGGCCATAACTTGCCGACACTTGACTTGATGGATATAATGGCAATTATTATAGTCAACAAAGGCGCATGCACAGAGTTCTCTAAATTGAGCTAATAACTACCTGCACACACACCCTCTAACACTAGCCGTTCGTTCAAAAATGCTGAATATGCCCGACTCGAAGGTCCCTCGGTCTTCACAACCTTGTGCACATTCAGCATTTTCGAGCGAACAGCGCTCTATAGCATGAATATTCATATTTGCTGCACTGCTACCGTGCATGCCTACTTTCTCTTCGCCATGTTGACGATTTACACATTACTAAAACTAAAACTTGTTAAAAGGAGTGTTTTGTTCAACTTTTTGGTTTTCATAACAAAATATTATCACTGAAATGCAGGCTAGGATTTGTTTTTGTTTATGGGGGCTACTTTTCCCATTGTCTAAAACAGCAAAACAAGGGGCAACTTTAAGAAAAGTGGAGGTTATTTTAAAAAAAGGGGGGTTACTTTAATTATTAAGGGTGCCATTTTCTACTCTTAGCCATATTTTATTAAAAATGACTGGTGCCCGGTACTCATTTTCGTTGTCTTACCGGGCGCCAAAAGTCAGGGACCGTTGGGTAGAAATCGCCCGGCGCCCAGTCAATAAAAGGCTAGGCCTAACGTAGACCGAAAGCTTCAGTCTCTATAATCGTCGGTTGTTCCACTGAGACTACGTCTGGCTCCACTAGACCTCCGGTTATAGAGACTGAACGACTGCCTATGCCAGCCTGTGTTGAACTTATTCCGCTAGATTTTAGCCGCTAGGCCCCTCCCACAAACTTGCCACGGCCGTATTGTTATGCCCCCAAAATCCCCCAAAATGTCATTTTACCTCGTTCATTTCCAATTTTAAATTAGGCCTAGGCTATAATACATCGGTTCCACTTACTAACTTCATTGATATAATCCGTTTAATGGTCCCTTTTAAGGAAATTATCGGTCAAAATCGACATCCATGTTGAAAATCTTGCAAGCCGTGTTTAACTCTCGCTGCCGTCAATCTCATCCCTTCTAGTCTACGCCGAAGGCAAAATGATTATGAAGGAAAAACTGTGCGCCATCTACACGTTCGTAATGGCGTTATCACAGTTTTTCCTTCATAATCATTTTGCCTTCGGCGTAGACTAGAAGGGATGAGATTGACGGCAGCGAGAGTTTAACACGGCTTGCAAGATTTTCAACATGGATGTCGATTTTGACCGATAATTTCCTTAAAAGGGACCATTAAACGGATTATATCAATGAAGTTAGTAAGTGGAACCGATGTATTATAGCCTAGGCCTAATTTAAAATTGGAAATGAACGAGGTAAAATGACATTTTGGGGGATTTTGGGGGCATAATAATACGGCCGTGGCAAGTTTGTGGGAGGGGCCTAGCGGCTAAAATCTAGCGGAATAAGTTCAACATAGGCTGGCATAGGCGATCGTTCTGTCTCTATAACCGGAGGTCTAGTGGAGCCAGACGTAGTCTCAGTGGAACAACCGACGATTATAGAGACTGAAGCTTTCGGTCTAGGCCTAACGTAGACCGAATTTTCCGTCTCTTTCGTTCGTTAGCCTCTTATTGGGGTAGGGTCGGCCGGCTCTCTCTTTAGAGACGGAAGCCGTTTATACACATGTCCTTGCTAACGCCACGGCCAGTCCTGGTCGTAGCATTTTGCCCCCAAAATCCCCCAAAATGTCATTTTACCTCGAGCATGTTATATTGTAAATTAGGCCTAGGCTATAATAAATCAGTTCCACTTACCAACTTGACTGAAATAATCAGTTTAATAGTCCCTTTTTAGGAAATTATGGGTCAAAATCGAAATCCATTTTGAAAATCTTTTTCAACATGGATTCCGATTTTGACCCATAATTTCCTAAAAAGGGACTATTAAACTGATTATTTCAGTCAAGTTGGTAAGTGGAACTGATTTATTATAGCCTAGGCCTAATTTACAATATAACATGCTCGAGGTAAAATGACATTTTGGGGGATTTTGGGGGCAAAACGCTACGACCAGGACTGGCCGTGGCGTTAGCAAGGACATGTGTATAAACGGCTTCCGTCTCTAAAGAGAGAGCCGACCCTACCCCAATAAGAGGCTAACGAACGAAAGAGACGGAAAATTCGGTCTAGGCCTAACGTAGACCTTGATCTAAAATGCAGCGGATATGCATCTGGTAAAATAAAAAAATTTGGGATTAGTTTGGCCAAGTTTGGTGTAAAGAAACGTTACACCAAACATGAACACTTACGCCTATGGGCAGCTTCTGGCTCTAAAGAGAGGAGCCGACCCTACCCAAATCAAAGGCTAAGGAGCGAAAGAGACAGAAAATTCGGGCTAAGAAAGAAGGAACCACCAACTTTGGAGCTGGATATCTCCTATTTTATGGCACTTCTGGAGTCAGCAGATGGTTAAGTTGTCTTAGTTAAAGAAAATACATTATTTCAAACCACTTTGTTTAATTATATAGGGCCTATAGAACAAAATGAGTAATTAAAAAGTTAGATTTTGGGATTGGCCTCCCTACTCTAGGCCATGGCAGCTCAGCTCCGTGGCCATCGGGATCGGCGCGGCGTCGGAGCTCTCTGGATCTCGAGTTACCAAATCCAAAGAAGTTGGCTGTAGTTTTAGCTCCAGGAGTGGATAATGATAAAATTACTGATACTGATTATACGTAATGCCATTGAGGCTGAATAAAGTACGTTTTATTTGCACTTACCTGCGTTCTCTAGGCATTCTTGTTTATATTTTTAAAGGAAATACGTTCTGAATTCACGAAGAAAGACGTCCTCGGCCTGGTTCATGAAACGCGCGATTAGTCTACTTTACAGACGTAAGAAATTCTATAAGAAAGGAAAAAGCAACATTATTAACATTTCTATCACCAGTTATTATTATAATCATCATTATTATCTTTAATAATTTTTTTCTTCTTCTTATCTCTCTGTAAATAACATTATTTTAACACGTACGTGGAGGTGAGCACTATTTTTTTTTGGTGGGGGGGGGGGGGGGGGATCCATTCTCATTTTCAGTGGGGCCAAATTTAATGAAATCAATCAATCAAACTTGCATTCAAATTCACATAGAGGTTGCTCGCAGGTGAATTCTGAAATTTGATCAAATTCAGAATCCAAGCGATATATCGTTTATCGCTCGATCTTATTCATGTTCGGCAGGCAATCAATTTTATTATTTTGTGATCAATATCCTATTATATTCTATTTAGTGTAATATTCATTGGGATTCCAGAAAAGAGGAAAACTTTGATTTCTTTCAATTGATATTACTTTAACTTAACGGTACTATTAAAAGTAGCAGAAAAATCAGACAAACCAATCAAAAAAGGTTTGAGCAAAATCGGATAAAACTAAAAAGTATGTAAACGATGAAAATCACTTCACAAATTGCCAATTTGGTTGTCAGTTTGTGACTTCATGTCCTCACTATTTTGCTTTATATAGTTTAATCCATTAATTTCCCTTTTTGTTATCCCCCAAAACTTGATTTCCCCATGCCTTTGCCCAGGTTATGATTTAATATTGCGTGCATGACATTTCACAAACAAATTTATGAACTTTGAAGAATTGCTACTATTTTCTGAATATTGTATATTCATAATTATTGATTTTTTTAAATAAATAGTTTATCAAATTTCATTTTGATTTTTAGAGTGGACTTGTCCTTAAATAACTATTACATAATGAAATCTCCAGTTTATTTATAATATGTTCTTCGTTTATCTGAAAATTATTGTTGCCTTAATTTTGATCATAATTTGATTATCATATCGCTAAAATAAATGAATATCCCGTACTACAGCTTATATTTGATGAATATATGTTATAATATGCATAAATATTCTATGTAATTGGAAAATTACTTTGGAAGAGATATTTTAGAACACAAAACTAGTGATTTAGAGGTGATTTCTGCAATAGTACTGCGAAAATGCATTTTCCCTCATTTAAAAAAAAAATCAATTTATTTGAAATGCATTATCACATAATTGAATGAAAAGACCTTTCAATGAAATTGTGCTTTTGAATGATGTATGTGTACCAGTTGTTTGTTCCTCTCTCGTTTTCTATCCCTCTCTCCCATGTCACCCTCTCATCAATCTCTCTCTCTCTCTCACCATTCTCACATCTTTTCTCTCTCTCTCTCACACCATTCTCACATTTTTTTTCTCTCTCTCTCTCCCTCTCTCGCTCCGTCCATCTCTCCCTCTCCCAACCTTTCTCTCTCTACGTTGTACACCTTCTTTCCATTCTCTCTCTCTCTCTCTCTATTTCTCTCCTTTTACCAGCCCCCCTATTTTTTCTTTATAATTATATATCAACCTCTTTTTTTTAAGCCTGTATACTCAGATATGATAAGCTGAATACCAATTGTGTAAAAATCTTTATTGGAAGTGCATTTGTTCTTTAATTGGATCCATATGAATCAAAGAACTAAGAGACTTCTAATAAAGATAAGTTGCTGATGAAATTGAATGCACTTATTTCAAAAATGCTTAATGTATATAGATAAATTATAGATTTTGGGTTCACGAGGTCAAAGATCACAGGGCTTATTGTGCAGCGGTATGCAAAAATAGCTCGTGATCACATTATCATTAGAACTGACGGATGGATTACTATCAAACTCAGGACATGCATCTATCTTGCACATCCAATGAACTGATTAGATTTTAGCATCATGATGTCAAAGGTCAAAGATCAAAGGGTCATACATGTATATGAAAAATAGCACACAATATTCTGAGAACCTCGGCTGGCAATCAATTACAATCAAACTTGAATTTTTAAACTTGCTACTGTTTTGGTTTATAAAATGGCTCTAGGGCGGAGGTATCGATTTTTGTCAGCACGCAGTCGAAGCTCCTTCTAGCTTCTGCTCTAATTCAGGGATCTCCACTGACCTATCCTGAAATCTTACTTGTGGGGGGGGGGGGGGATCAGGATTTAGATTTGCAGTGCCCATGTGTCCCGGGTAACCGTTAATGTTGAGCCTTGTTAAGTATAAAAGGGTGGCCTTCCCCTTCAAGAAGATCGAGAGATGAGGTGAGTACCTGCAGTTGTAAAGTGAAATAATGAGATTACAAAAAAAACAAAGGTTTGACAAATAAAGACTAAAGAGAGATTCCAGGACGTACAGAATCAGAAATAAAAGACTGTCATTTATTGAATGTAAAAAACAAACAGCAGGTTCATGGATATAAATACAACTTTCAGGCATGAGTTTGATGATGAACATGATAGAATTAACTGGTTCTACAACGAAAACATGCCTATAAAACAATTCTTGGCATACAAATCAGATTCTTGGAAAGACATCTGCACCTGAGAATGTGCAATACAAACAATATGTACACGTAGTACATTACACATGGCTACAAACATAAATCAACTTACATCTATTACATTGATACATATTTTATCATGTTGTTTATTGATAGCTAATTTACAATGTATATGGAAATTTTGAAAAATAAAGAGTGTCCACTTTCTCTTTTTGCTGATTTTTAACAATTTTTCTCAATCATTGTACATATATTCCTAATTAAATATGATTTGTCCCTTGATCTTAAAGATAAAGACCAGTTATGGTCATGCGATTACATTGTGAAAGAAACATGGCGATTAGAAAAGGTTGATCATCTAGCATATAAATACTGCAAGGTTCTGGAATCATCAAAATGATAAGAAATTTGGCCCAGTCTTGGTAAAGTTACAAGCACTGTACACAGAAAGATGTATATGGGACTACGCACATGTGCACAACATGTACGTTATATCTATCAGGTCCAAATAGATATAATAATTTACCAAATATATCAATTAGTAGGCGGTTTCTCGGCAAAATTTGTATGATCACGTATTAGTCAGAACATATTCTTTCACATAATTGGTAATAAGAGCTTCCATTTCATTTTTTGAGAGGGGGGCGTTTCCAAAACTGGTCTTGAACTTTAAATGCAATATGTAATCAAATCAAAGTATTACTGAATTGAACTGACTTGAAGTGTAAGAAGATAAAATAAAAAATATTTTGATTTTCATCCCTTATGGAATTTAAATGTAACCTTAAGTATAACTCCTACTAGTCTGTGTGATACTGGATATTTTTTTCTTTTTTCATTATGTTTCATTTTCTTTTAAAACGGCTTGCCAAAAATATGCAGCAATATACAAGCCAAATATGCAAAGGTGTGACTGAGGCATTAGGGGGTTTTCGTTTGTCACGTTGACATAGTCGACGTCTAATATGTGACGTCATTTCCGCGATCTGCGCATGCGTCGGGTCGTCTGGCGTCGTCAGGCCACATTTGCGAACCCGTTCATCGATGATTTGAGGTTCGTCAGAAAACTAGTGACCCGTCGTCAGAATGACGTCATCTTGCTACATCGCAGCGTAAATCAGAAAGTGAAAACAGAAAGAGAAATTGATAAAATGATTAAAAAACAAAAAATAACATAAGGAAAGACAGAAAAAAAGTGTGATAGAATGATAAAAACAAAGAATAACATAAGAGAAGATGATAGAAGGAAAAAACAAAGGCTAACATAAGGGAAGACAGAAAGAGAAGGTGAAAGAAGGGAAAAAACAAAGAATAACATAAGGAAAGACTGAAGAGAAAGTGTAAGAAGGAAAAAACAAAGAATAACATAAGGAAAGGCAGAAAGAGAAGGTGAAAGAAGGAAAAAACAAAAAATAACATAAGGAAAGACAGAAAGAGAAGGTAAAAGAAGGAAAAAACAAAGAATAACATAAGGAAAGACAGAAAGAGAAGGTGAAAGAAGGAAAAAACAAAGAATAACATAAGGAAAGACAGAAAGAGAAGGTGAAAGAAGTGAAAAACAAAGAATAACATAAGGAAAGACAGAAAGAGAAGGTGAAAGAAGGAAAAAACAAAGAATAACATAAGGAAAGACAGAAAGAGAAGGTGAAAGAAGGAAAAAACAAAGAATAACATAAGGAAAGACAGAAAGAGAAGGTGAAAGAAGGAAAAAAACAAAGAATAACATAAGGAAAGACAGAAAGAGAAGGTGAAAGAAGGGAAAAAACAAAGAATAACATAAGGAAAGACTGAAGAGAAAGTGAAAGAAGGAAAAAACAAAGAATAACATAAGGAAAGACAGAAAGAGAAGGTGAAAGAAGGAAAAATCAAAGAATAACGTAAGGAAATACAAAAAGAGAAAGTGATAGAATGATAGAAACAAAGAATAACTTAAGAGAAGATGATAGAAGGAAGAAGCAATTATGAGGAAAGATAGAAAGAAAAATGATAGAATGATAACAACAACAATAACATTAGGAAAGACAGAAAGAGAAAATGATAAAGAATAGACAATGGAAAGATAGAAGAGAAGATGGAAGAAGGAAAAACAAAGAATATCATAAGAAAAATAGAGAGAGTATAATAGAATAATAAACGAAGAACAAAATAAGAAGTGAAAGAAGGAGAAAATGAATAAGCGCGTGCGGGGCCATTACGTCATCGTGTAGAGAACGTGTGTCAACTTAAAACGAAAAGGGTTATAAGGTAGTGAACAGGACGGGTGTCTGACGTCAATTTGCATCGTTAGAGGACGTGAACGCCGTCCTCGTCCACACAAACGAAAAGCCCCTAATAGCAGCGAGACAACTGATAAAATATGAGTTTCAAAATAATTACAAGGCAATTTTCTTAAATACAAAGAATTTGTTACAATAACAAGGTACAGCTTTACTCCAATGGTTGGACATACAAACTACTCATGAACAAAAATACCCCTAGAAATCCATAGACATCATAACATTCACACAAGAATTATCAGGATCTTGTAAGCCTGGACAACAGTCAATGGCTCACATACAATGAATGAGTGATTCCACTGTGATTGGATATTCCAATTATTCACAATTACATCATATATGGACATTTAAACAAAAATAATCTTTTAGAGTGTTGCATGATTGTTTGGACATCACTAGGATTCAGAGCTGATTTGACTTTCCTCCGAAAGAAAGGATTGCGAGATCCTGAAAATGTTATTCTACAAATAATTTATTTATTTATTTCTATTTGATTTGTAAATTTCTCTTCATTGTCTGTTTCCAACATTACAAACTTATAACAACATAATCGTGATAGTAAACAAATTGTATAATTGATACATCGTCAAAGTCAAATACTTACATCATAATATTAACATGATAATCAGGAAGAAGGATTGGCACATAACTCAGCTTGAAGGCATGGCAATTCTGTATAAAACTTAATAACTTATGCCTTTATACACAAAATGATATAGTGGATGAAATGAAATGAGATGTATGAGAAGATGACAGGAAGAGATGGTTAATAGAATGAAAAAGGTGATATACCACAATTCAGAGCCTCGATCATAACATTTTACATAATTTAATATTCATATCAAATGCTAATGCAACTTATTCCAACATAGGATGCTATATAGTGAAACCCTATAGTGTGCCGTATGCTTACAATACCATAACATGAGTGTACAGTCTCTAGCTGAAACAGAGATCAATTAGGGATATTGGTCCTCCCAAGATGAGTTGAATGAGAGCAGAGAAATAAAAGTATGAGAAAATTGTTTAAAATCTGATAATTTTTTTTTTTTTTAAATATATACATCATTCAATCAAGAACTATATTTTCCAGAGCGAACACACACGTTTATTTGTACACACAATAATAAATACATGTTCTATCCTTTTACATGATTGCCTGGGTAATAAACATTATACACGTACCTGAACACGAGAAAAGATGTATACCTATGGCTTCTTCCCAAAATTAGAATAATTAAAATCGATTATTTGTAAGTACTTGTATAAAAAAAAAAAATGGGGGTACATAATTTATAGCTTGCAAAATGAAAACCAATGTCAAGCATGCCATGCGTTGTCATGCCCCCCTCCTGAAGTTTTGTGATAAATTCAGAATACAAAATTTGTTGCTACATGGATTCATGACTCTGTTCATGATGCTGAAAATCTACATTATTGACGGTGAAAATATGCATGCATGAACATAGTCTTACACATGTAATAGGCACACTAATCGGGGCATTTTCTAAAATCCAGAAATCTGCTATGAAAGTTCCTTTCCAAAAGAACCAAACCCAACAAATACAGTATAAAGTGTTTCTTCAATGTAGAAGGCAAGTAAGTAGTTAAATCAGAACTGATTTTATTATTTATTATATAAATCTATGTATCTACCTATTATTGCTTAGTCCTCCAGACAAGCAAGCCATCAAGAGAAAAAGTCACAATTGTGCATACCCCACCCCAAAACCATTGCTATATCCCTAGTCACGTACGCACCACACGCGCACACATTCATCCTCTCCAACGAGGGTCACCTGCGCGCCTGATGGCACGGATTGTTGCAAAGCAACAACGCACGGTCTGTGAGGCCCACGCTAGCTTCTACAGGGCTGGCAGTTCCGGTCCAGGCAGCACGGCTTTTTAGCAGTCTTTGTATTCTCGGCGCCAGCCCTTTATAGACTGAAAACTACTCACGGCGGATGGACACAGCCGAAACGGGCTGAACCCGGCAGAACAGTAGTTGTTTGCGAAAAGTCCCTATGCTCAGCCTGAGCAAAGTGGGCGTGAAACCGGGGTCACCTTCGCGCCTTAGCTCCCGACCTAGCTGAAGCTTGGATGCTCGAGCTCCTCTGCCTCCCTTGCTTTGATACAGGGGACAAAACAAACTTCACAGCCTTGCTAGAGCTTTAGCTTTACGTGCGGTGTGACGAGAAGCTCTTCTGCTTCTTACCCATAGATATGGGGGGCCAAGCGAGCTTCATGGCCCTGCTAGAGCTTTCGCTCTAACTGATGGCCGATGTGACCAGGGACGTCTCGCTCCAATGCTTCAAAAGAATCGACAAGCTTTCCTTACAGCGTCAAATAGATAATAAATGAGTAGCAACAAAGGCCACTATGAATAAAGAGTCAACGGACTATCTTAGTGTCAATAAAATATCCTAGGGGTATAACGTAGGTCTTGGGGTGGGGTATGCACAATTGTGACTTTTTCTCTCGATGACTTGCTTGTCTGGAGGACTAAGCAATAATAGGTAGATACGTTGATTTATTGTGGTAAACAGGAAATTTTTGAGGAATTTGATTATTGCATTGAGAACTTGATATGGCCTTATTCCCTGCTTTCTCCAACTAGTATGTGTTCTAACAAGGCTATGAAATAAGATTTTCACTATAGATTTAAAAAAAGCGCTTTATAATAATAAAATTCACATTTGTATACATTTTTATAACACATATAATAGTCTCTTTTGTGGCTAGTAAGATTGATTTTTTTGAGAAAATCCTGTATCACAATAGGAACACCAATGCGGCTTATCTCCACTATGTGTTTTTAAAGGGACTTTCTTACATTGTTTAGATGAGAGAAAATGGTGCCATTAAGGTATTGACTTTCACTCAAACTTTCAGATGATCATTAATTGTACATGTGAAAGTTTTGAGTGAAAACAGACCACTTTTAATAATGATAACAATTGGAAGAAACTTATCTGATTGATTCCAGAATTCTCCCAAATACATTATTGTATTTTAATAAAATTTTAGTTGAATGAAAATCGTCAAAAGCAATGAATTTGCTCTCTATACTATTCTAAACATTTAAGAATGGAAAGATTTTCAAAAGCCTGCTTTAGGTCTTATTTACTGTAAGAGAGTGTTGCACAGTGACGGCTTCAAAGAAGAGGATTTTTTACATGTTAGAAGGCATGTACAGCAAAAGGAATATTATACGTAACATTTCATACAAAAATCACATATTTTTTTTCTTCATCAACCTTCAACAATATTAACAAGTCAATTTAAATGATTAGTTCAATTTCTTTAATGAGGAAATCCCTTATCACACTGGGAACACCAGAGTTCTAAAGTGTCTAGTGAGCTTATTCTTTTGCGAAAATCCTGTGTGTTTTTAAATGACTAATAAGAGTTCTTTTATCACGAAATGCCTTATCACACTGGGAACACTTAAAGGGTTTCTCTCCTGTATGTGTTCTAAGGTGCCTAGTTAGATTACTCTTTTGAGAAAATCCTGTATCACAATAGGAACATCGATGAGGTTTTTCTCCACTGTGTGTTCTTAAATGAATTATAAGAGCAACTTTATGAGAAAATCCCTTACCACACTGGGAACAATTATGTGGCTTTTCACCACTGTGTGTTCTTGAATGGGTCCTAAGTCTACATCTGTGAGAAAATCCCTTATCACACTGGGAACACTTAAAGGGTTTCTCTTTTGTATGTGCTATAAGGTGCACAGTAAGATTAGTCTTTTGAGAGAATCCCTTATCACACTGGGAACACTTAAAAGGTTTCTCTTCTGTATGTGTACTAAGGTGGCTAGTAAGCTCATTCTTTTGAGAAAATCCTTTACCACAATATGAACACTTAAAAGGTTTCTCTCCTGTATGTGTTCTAAGGTGCCTAGTTAGATTACTCTTTTGAGAAAATCCTGTATCACAATAGGAACATCGATGAGGTTTTTCTCCACTGTGTGTTCTTAAATGAATAATAAGAGCAACTTTATATGAAAAACCCTTATCACACTGGGAACACTTAAAGGGTTTCTCTACTGTATGTGTTCTGAGGTGCCTAGTAAACTTATTCTTTTGAGAAAATCCCATGTCACAATAAGAACATTGATGTGGCTTTTCTCTACCTTGTGTTCTTAAATGAACGACAAGATTTCTTTCATGAGGAAATCCCTTATCACACTGGGAACACTTAAAGGGTTTCTCTCCTGTATGTGTTCTACGGTGCCTAGTAAGCTCATTTTTTCGAGAAAATCCTGTGTCACAAAAGGAACATCGATATGACTTTTCTCTACTGTGTGTTCTTAAATGAACGACAAAATTTCTTTTATGAGGAAATCCCTTATCACACTGGGAACACTTAAAAGGTTTCTCTCCTGAATGTGTCCATAGATGATTTGCTAAATTACCTTGGCAAGAAAAACCCTTACCACAACGGGAACATAGATAGGGCTTTTCGCCACTGTGTGTCCTTAAATGAACGACAAAATTTCTTTTATGAGGAAATCCCTTATCACACTGGGAACACTTAAAAGGTTTCTCTCCTGAATGTGTCCATAGATGATTTGCTAAATTACCTTGGCAAGAAAAACCCTTACCACAACGGGAACATCGATGAGGCTTATCTCCACTGTGTGTTCTTAAATGAATATTAAGAGCACCTCTATGACAAAAATCCTTATTACACTGGGAACACATAAAGGGTTTCTCTCCTGTATGTGTTCTAAGGTGCCTAGTAAGCTCATTCTTTCGAGAAAATCCAATGTCACAATAGGAACATCGATGTGGCTTTTCTGTACTGTGTGTTCTTAAATGAACGACAAGATTTCTTTTATGAGGAAATCCTTTATCACAATGGGAACACTTAAAGGCTTTCTCTCCTGTATGTCTCCATAGATGATTTGCTAAATTATGTCGACAAGAAAAACCCTTACCACAAGGGGAACACATAAAGGGTTTCTCTCCTGTATGTGTTCTAAGGTGCCTAGTTAGATTACTCTTTTGAGAAAATCCTGTATCACAATAGGAACATCGATGAGGCTTTTCTCCAGTGTGTGTTCTTAAATGAATGATTAGAGCATTTTTTTGTGAAAAACTCATATCACACTGGGAACACTTAAAGGGTTTCTCTACTATATGTGTTCTGAGGTGCCTAGTTAGAATACTTTGGCAAGTAAAAACAGAATCACAATGGGAACATTGATGAAGCGTTTCTCCACTGTGTGTTCTTAAATGAATAATAAGAGCACCTCTATGAGAAAAACCCTTATCACACGGGGAACAAATGAAGGGTTTCTCTCCTGTATGTGTTCTAAGGTGGCTAATAAGCTCATTCTTTCGAGAAAATCCAGTGTCACAATGAGAACATCGATATGGCTTTTCTCTACTGTGTGTTCTTAAATGAACGACAAGATTTCTTTTATGAGGAAATCCCTTATCACACTGGGAACACTTAAAGGGTTTCTCTCCTGTATGTGTCCATAGATGATTTGCTAAATTACTTTGGCAAGAAAAACCCTTACCACAACGGGAACACATGAAGGGTTTCTCTCCTGTATGTGTTCTAAGATGCCTAGTTAGATTACTCTTTTGAGAAAATCCTGTATCACAATAGGAACATCGATGAGGCTTTTCTCCAGTGTGTGTTCTTAAATGAATGATTAGAGCATTTTTTTGTGAAAAACTCATATCACACTGGGAACACTTAAAGGGCTTCTCTCCTGTATGTGTTTTGAGGTGCCTAGTAAGCTCTTTCTTTTGAGAAAAGCCTGTATCACAATGGGCACATCAATGTGGCTTTTCTGTACTATGTGTTCCTAAATGACTAATCAGAGTTCTTTGATGAGTACCTCCTTTATCAGACTGGGAACACTTAATGGGTTTCTCTACTGTATGTGTTCTGAGGTGCCTAGAAAGATCAGTCTTTTCAGAGAATCTTTTATTACAAAAGGAACATCGATGAGGCTTTTCTCCATGTGTTTCTAAATGCTTAATCAGAGTTCTTAGATGAGGAAATCTCTTATCACACTGGGAACACTTAAAGGGTTTCTCTCCTGTATGTGTTTTAAGGTGAAGAGTAAGATCAGTCTTTTCAGAGAATCTTTTAATACAATAGGAACATCGATGAGGCTTTTCTCCACTGTGTTTTCCTAAATGCCTAATAAGAGTACTTACATGAGGAAATCTCTTATCACACTGGGAACACTTAAAGGGTTTCTCTCTTGTTTGTGTTCTAAGGTGAAGAGTAAGATTACTTTTTTGAGAAAATCCTCTCTCACAATAGGAACACCGATGAGGCTTTTCTCCACTGTGCGTTCTTAAATGCCTAATAAGAGCACTTTGATGAGGAAATCCCTTATCACACTGGGAACACTGAAAGGGTTTCTCTCCTGTATGTGGTCTTAGGTGCCTAGTAAGCTTTGTCTTTTTAGAAAATCTTTCATCACAAGAGGGACACTGATAGGGCTGTTCTCCTCTGTGGGTTCTTGAATGGGTAGTTAGATTAACTTGGCAAGAAAAAACCTTATCACAATGGGAACATTTATACGAATCTTCACCACAGTTCTCATCAGTGAATGTCTTACTGCAATGTAAACACAGATGGGACCTCTCTCCACTGCATGCTGTTATAAGTGAGTGTACCTTGACTTGTCCATTGTCCAACTCTGGGGAGGAAAAGAAAATAATTCATGATTCTGTTGTACAATTTTGTAATTAATTTTCTCTTCGTAGCCATGTTGAACGGATGCTTACAGCGAGCGTAGTAAGTGTGGAAGTAAGTATTCAGGGAGGCTGCAAAAATGAGGACACAGCGATTACATGACCAGATTTCAGCTGACGCAACTTACAGATGGTAAAAATGCTCCGTCATCAAGTTTTTCAAAAATATGAAGGACCTACTCAAATGTTTACAACCTTAATAGGCTTGTTTTAATTAGAGCCTGTAATAATAGACCTTTTGAGAAAATGGTTACCCTTTTTAAAACAGTTTAGCTCCTTTAAAAGAGAAAATATCCCCTAAAAACAAACTCGGCTCCCCTTTGAAGAGCCTTTCAAAGAACTGCAATAAAAAATTATTTATACAGTGCTGTAGGTGGTGAAAATAAATTGCAATTCATTCATAAAAAATTTAATCAACCCCATTGAATAAAGCATTTTATATACCTCACTTAAGAAATCTAGCCATCTGATTGGTCGAAATTGGAGTCGTCATTTTAGCCATGCCCGCCTACCAATCAATAGTCTTTTAAAAAGTGCCGTCATACCTGCCTTCCGGTCAATAGTCTTTTAAAAAATGCCCTCATGCTGCGATCCCCATTGGTTTACGTGTTAAAGGTAAAGACCAGTTTTGGAAATGGCCCCTCTCAAAAAATGAAATGGAAGCTCTTATTACCTATCATGTGAAAGAATATGTTTTGACTAGTACGAGATGATACATATTTTGCTGAGAAACCACCTACTAATTGATATATATGGTAAATTATTATATCTATTTGGACCTGATAGATATAACGTACGTGTCGCGCACGTGTGCGTAGTCCCATATACATCTTTCTGTGTACAGTGCTTGTAACTTTACCAAGACTGGGCCAAATTTCTTATCATTTTGATGATTCCAGAACCTTGCAAATACACACCAATACTTATATGCTAGAAGATCAACCTTTTCTGATCGATTCCACGTTTTTTTCACAATGCAATCGCAAGACCATAACTGGTCTTTATCTTTAACGTTTTGTTTGTGCGAGCGTGAATACCATACAGCGCTTTTTGTCTGCGATTCCCAAATGAATATAAGATTCAGTCATCTTTCCAGCGTAGATTAACAGACAGTGTCTCAGATTTTCTGTGATGTTTTAACAAATCTTTACTCAATAAAAGGATATGGTAAGAATTATTCTTGGTAGATTTTTGGGTCAATTCGGTATATAAAAGATATGACTGCTTTAATATTCCAGGCATATTTGTTTTTATAGGCTCTTGGGGACATTTCATCCTGCCATCAGCCCTCTCCACGCCTCGGGGTGATAACAGGATGTAACTTCCCCTTGAGCCTTTAAAAACAACTATCCCTCCCATAGCAGTCATTACGTCTATAATTACCGTTCAATTTTGTGGTTCATTCTCTTCATAGCCATGTTGGATGGATGCTTACATCGAGCACAGTAAGTGCGGAAGTAATTATCCATGGACACAGCAAATACGTGACCAGATTTCAGCTGATGCAACTTACAGATGGTAAAAATGCTCTTTCATCAAGTTTTTCAAATATACGAAGGACCTACTAAAATGTTTACAACGTTAATAGGATTTTTAAATTTGAGCATGTAATATTAGACCTTCAGGGAAAATGGTTACCCTTATAAACCAATTTAGCTCCTAATTAATACAATGAAAAAGAGAAAATATCCCCTATAAACAAAAATCAGCTCCACCTAGAACTGCAATAAAAAAATTATTTGTTTGTGTGTATACAGTGCGGTAGGTGGTGAAAATTAAATACAATTCATACCTCCGATTTAAATCTATTGTTTCATTCATTCATACAAAATTCAATCAGCCACGTTGAATAAAGCATTATAAAAGTTTGTAAATCACAATTACAGAGTATATGGTTTCGATTTATGCCCCTCCACCTGGCACTATGCCTGGCAATGTCTCCCAGCTCAGTAATCGGTGTGATGACTTACCACTTGGAAACTAGAACAACACTCCAATTTGTCTGTCATCTTGGTTTGAAAGTAATCTTTGTAATAGATCTCAATATATATTCATCCAAGTTTAACACATGGTGTACCACAAGGTTCTATCCTAGGTCCTCTACTGTTTTTAATTTACATTAATGATCTTACACATTATTCTTAAACGACATTGTTACTATTATTTGTGACTAGTTCACAGGTACAAATCGGCGCCTTCAGTTAAATCACCTCGCAGTCCTTCCCGCTTTTTCACACGGCCCAAAAAAACAACAAAAAAAAAAATTGGAGATATCCGTGATGTTACAGCAATACCTCAAACCATAGGCCTAATGGGGAGGTGATGTCATAAGAAGAGGAGTAGATTAAGATTTTCTACACTGTATCCCCAGATGGATAAAAAGATTGGTTTGTTGATAAATAACTGATCATAACAGGAACAGGAGGCTTTTCTCATTTGTGTAATTTTCCTTAGAATATAGCTTTCGCAAGACCAGATTCTTTAAAAATATTTTCACAATTGGAATATTAGTAAGGTTTTTCTATTTTAATACATGGCTAATAAGGCTTTTTCTATTATCTTTTACTAGAATGGGTTATATTATCTGATTTTCTCCCATGTGTGAGTTCTTTGATGGTATGTCAGATACAATGTTCAAAATCAAGTACATGTATATCACCATTAGAAGTGTGCAGTTCATCTCTTAATTACAAATCAATGAATTATAAATTGAGAAAAAAAATCATTACTGCGGTTTTCTTAATTACTAAATGAAATGTAACACTGATTTGTTGAGAAAGTTCTTTATCACTAGAACATTAGAACATTGGAATGGTCCAATGTGTGTTTTCAGATGTAACATTAATAAGGCTTTTCCCCCACTGTGTGTTCTTGAATGGGTCATAAGATTACTTCTGTGATAAATTCCCTTATCACACTGGGAACACTTAAAGGTAAAGACCAGTTATGGTCATGCGATTGCATTGTGAAAGAAACGTTGTGGAATCGATCAGAAAAGGTTGATCATCTAGCATCTAGCATCTGCAAGGTTCTGGAATCATCAAAATGATAAGAAATTTGGCCCATTCTTCGTAAAGTTACAAGCACTATACACATATGGGACTACCCTATATCTCTCACAGACCATGAGAGAAACAAATTTACCAAATATATGAATTAGTAGGCAGTTTCCCGGCAAATTGTATTAGTATGTATTAGTCAAAACATATTCTTTCACATGATTGGTAATGAGAGCTTCCATTTCATTTTTTGAAATTGGGGCGTTTCCAATACTGGTCTTTACCTTTAAAGGGTTTCTCTTCTGCATGTGTACTAAGGTGGCTAGTAAGCTCATTTTTTTGGACAAAATCCTTTATCACGAAAGGGACATCACAAAAGGCTTTTCTGCAGTGTGTGTTCTCATATGAATAATAAGAGTACTTTTATGAGGAAATCCCTTACACCAATAGGAACATTTATAAGGCGTTTCACCACTGTGTGTTCTCATATGAATAATAAGAGTACTTTTTACAAGAAAATCCTTTATCACACTAGGAACACTTTAAAGGTTTCTCTCCTGTGTGTGTTCTCAAATGGATTTTAAGGTTACATCTTTGAGAAAATCTCTTACCACAATGGGAACACTTATGCGGCCTTTCACCACTGTGTGTTCTTGAATGGCTTTTAAGGTTACTTCTGTGAGAAAATCTCTTACCACACTGGGAACACTTATACGGCTTTTCACCACTGTGCGTTCTCAAATGGCTTTTAAGGTTGCTTTTACAAGAAAATCTCTTACCACACTGGGAACACTTATGCGGCTTTTCACCACTGTGTGTTCTGAAATGATTTATAAGGGTGCTTTTACAAGAAAAACCCTTATCACACTGGGAACACTCAAACGGTTTCTCTCCTGTATGTATACCAAGGTGGCTAGTAAGCTCATTTTTTTCGGAAAATCCTTTATCACAATAGGGACATCGAAAAGACTTTTCTCTAGTGTGCATTCTTGAATGGGTTCTTAGGTTACTTTCGTGAGCAAAAATCTTATCACAATGGGAACATTTATAAGGCTTTTCCCCACTGTGTATTCTCATATGAATATTAAGAGAACTTTTATGAGGAAATCCCTCATCACAATGAGCACATTTATAAGGCTTTTCGCCACTGTGCGTTCTCATATGAATAATAAGAGTACTTTTACAAGAAAATCCCTTATCACACTGGGAACACATAAAGGGTTTCTCTCCTGTATGTGTTCTAAGGTGCATAGTAAGCTTAGTCTTTTGAGAGAATCCTTTACCACAATGGGAACACTTATGCGGCCTTTCACCACTGTGTGTTCTTGAATGGGTCCCAAGGTTACTTCTGTGAGAAAATGTCTTACCACACTGGGAACACTTATAAGGCTTTTCACCACTGTGTGTTCTCAAATGGGTTTTAAGGTTACTTCTGTGAGAGAATCCTTTACCACAATTGGAACACGTATGTGGCTTTTCACCACTGTGTGTTCTTGAATGGGTCCTAAGTCTACTTCTGTGAGAAAATCCCTTATCACACTGGGAACACTTAAAGGGTTTCTCTCCTGTATGTGTACTAAGGTGGCTGGTAAGTTCATTTTTTTGAGAAAATCCTTTGTCACAATAGGGACATCGAAAAGGCTTTTCTCCAGTGTGCATTCTTGAATGGGTAGTAAGAGAACTTTTATGAGCAAATCCCTCATCACAATGGGAACATTTATAAGGCTTTTCTCCACTGTGTGTTCTTAAATGAATAACAAGATTACCTTTATGAGAAAATCTCTTACCACACTGGGAACACTTATGCGGCTTTTCACCACTGTGTGTTCTTGAATGGGTCCTAAGTCTACATCTGTGAGAAAATACCTTATCACACTGGGAACACATAAAGGGTTTCTCTTCTGTATGTGTTCTAAGGTGCATAGTAAGCTTAGTCTTTTGAGAGAATTGCTTATCACACCGGGAACACTTAAAGGGTTTCTCTCCTGTATGTGTTTTAAGGTGCCTTGTAAGATTATTCTTTTCAGAAAATCCTCTATCACAATAGGGACATCGATAAGGCTTTTCTCCAATTTGCAGTCTTGAATGGGTAGTAAGATTACCTTGGCAAGAAAAAACCTTATCACAATGGGAACATTTATAAGGATTTTTACCCCAGTTCTCATCAGTAAATGTTTTACTGCAATGTAAACACAGATGGGCCTTCTCTCCAGTGCATGCTGCCATTAGTGAGTGTATCTTGTCCTGTCCATTGTCCAAATCTGGGGAGGAAAAGAAAGTAATTACTTTCCTATTAAATAGAAGATCTACTTATTATGTTAAGGGTTAACATTTAAATTTAAATCACTGTAAAATGAAGAGATATCACCAGGCATATCCAGACTGCCTACTAGATGCAGACTATCATGTAATGGTCTAAAACCTTCAATGCAGTGAACTTTGCATAAGTCAATTTTGACAAGATGCAATGAAATCTTCCATTTGTCCGTAAGTCAAAGAAAATTTGACGTTTACCCAAATTGACCATGATGGGACCAAGCAAAATGCATCTAATTGGATGACCTTTGATTTCTGTGTAAGTGCAAGTAAATTTGACTTAAAGGCATTGTTGAACACTGCAAAATCTGAGATGCATGGCCCTATGTGTTGTTAGTGTCTGTGATATGGTGTTACATTGAAGCCCTAAAAAAAAATTGGCTTCAAAATAATCATGAAGTGCCTCAAAAAAGTAAAAATCTTTGAGTGACTGGTTTTACTATATTCATTTTCCCCAACAGACTGTAGTGTTATAAAAAACATTGGGAAAATGGTTTTTGAAATTACGACTTTAATCATGAATATCTTAATAATCAGATGGGTGAAAGGCTTGTAAACGTCATGGGATTCCTGACTGACATAAAGGTTTAAAATTATGATTGCAGTATGAACTAAATCCAAGATTTTGTTTAGAATCTGAGACAAAGATACCCAATCCCTTTAAGCATTTGTTGTCCCTTATATAACTTGGGAACTTGCCAGCAGTTTAGTTGATATTAGTCTTTACCAAGTTTACCCTAAGCCTTGATTTAAACAGTTGTGCAGACATCCAAAAAATAAGAATGTTTTGCAACAGAAACATGCGGTAATTAATTCCAATGTACCACATCTTTGTTGACATACGGTACATGTACACTTTTTGTGTTGTGATTTATTTTTAACTTGTGTGGATTTTTGCTACGTCACCAGCTATGCACACATACAATTACTTTCTACAGGCTGTCTATGAGAAAATATTGCTATTAAATAAGGAGAAAGAGAACTGCGAAATGTGTTCTAATATAAGAAATTAATGGATGCTGAATACAGAATGGTAACACTTATAAATTGATAATATTGAATTGAGCTACCATTCTTGTGCAAACTGTTGATAGATAATGTTGGATTTTCGAGATAATCTACTACGGTGCCATACTTGAACTTTGATGTATGGTTTAGTGAACTGCGTACCTGCATTGAATACTAATACCCTTGTGATAATTGTGATCGCAATGATGCGGTAATTAGTGTTGACTCTAGGGCTAGGCTAGATAGTAGTACTACCATGCCTCCCAAACAGACAGTGATAGCTGTAATGTTTGATGACATTAATGATGACTAATATAATTGGTTAGCACTCAGATTTGTGGGTTTCAATCTGCTCGTTCTATTCCTTTTCTATGGTATCTTTACATAGTCAAATCGACAAGGAAGTATCTCACGATACTACAAGAGCTCCTAGACAGTAAGTACTTCAATGAAACACTCTCAACAATGTGAGTAGCAAACTAGATGAAATCTCAAATAAGCTTGATGACGTTTCGTAGAGACTTATCATCATGATCAACGCTTCACAACTATTGAAAGTGATCTCAGAAAGCAAGATATTAGAATAACTGAAGTTTATGATGAACTTGCATCAGAGAAGGCCAAAATGGATGTCGAGATGAAGGTGAATGAGAGGGAGACAGCCATCAAACATCTTCAAAGTGAACTGAATACAAGCCTAAACAAAATTGTAAACCCGGAACACCAATTAAGTTAAACAGCTTAGAGCAGTATTCTCGCAAAGCTGCAAAAGAATCTTCAGTCTCAAAGCAAAGCATGGAGAAAATAATAATAATAATAATAATAAATATTAATAAAGCGCACTTTTCTAACTACTTACTCAAGGTGCTATAAAATACCAATACTCTAGGTTGTGAAGTAGGCAAGCGAATTTAAGTTGATCTTAAGGAGCAAGATATAGACCATAACCATCGAGTTGGCGACCCTACTTCAGCATCACGTCAAGGTGATCATCAAATTACATGAGTTAAGCTCAAATCATATCGCAAGAGACAAGAGTTGTTACAAAATAGAAGGAAATTAAAGAACTCAGGAACAACAATCCAAGAAAACCTAACCAAAAATACAGGAAATTGCTTTAAGGAGCATACAGACTCTCAAAAAAGGCAGAGTTCAGGGCCTATGGTCTTCAGACGGAAGAATTTTTGTATTAAACAAGCACCCCAAACAGCAGGGCGCGACAAACCCGCTTGCCCGACGTCCCGGGGCAACCAAATTGAGCCGTCGGGCAAGTAAATCAAATTATCACTTGCCCGATTCGGGCAAGTGATACTTTTACAGTAATTTCCTAGTGTCCAAGAACTCTACCATTCACCCGTCAACTTCTTACCCGTCGTCAAAATCCAGAAGCAAAAAAGCGATCGTTCCGATTTCGAAAAAACTTCACAGACAGCTAGCCAGCTCAGCTAGCTCAGCGCGCATGCAACAGTGACACTTCAAGCCATGAATGCCGCTCCGCCTCCACGCACGGCCGGCCGTGAGCTAGCTAGAGACAGCTAGCGCGATCGTACCAGCTGCGAGCTTATTCGCGCTCTCTCTCTCTAGCTCTGCAGGCCGCACCGACAGGCCTTTGCTATTCTCTGATTGCCGATTGGTTGAATCACGCCAAATATGACGTCATTATTCTAGGGAAATGAACACGTGCGAATCGGAATGGAATAAACAACAGGGATTTTCTAGTAAGTACAAAAAGTCAAATGTTTGATATTTATTCATAATGACTGTTAATGATTGTGAACATATTATTTAAAACTCGCTGCTCATATAAATCAGATGAATGTTTTTGTCTCGTTTTCAATTTATTACTGCGGTCTCAAGATCCGACCGAGCGAGTCATTTTGATAATAGTATCGAGACCCCCAGAATATAAGCCGTTGTTGTTTTGTTTTCATGGTTTTAGCGACGTTGTTTAGTCTAGTTTTCGCATACTTATCCGAGATTTATCGTAAAATATCTTCAATATTATTATTTAGTAAGAATTTACAAATTTTGGCATGATATTTATAGCAGTGAATGATGAAATAAAAATGTCCGTACTTTATTTAAAATAGTTGATTACCCATTATTTACATGACGTTTCTTGATGGAAGAGTTGACCCAAATTATTAACAGCTGAAAATTAGCCTACGTTTCCAAATGACCTTCAACCATCCTTTGTTGACCATTTTCTTTGACATATTAGGTTATTATTCAGTACAGTTACACTGTACATGTATGTGCATTAATTTGCTATCTAAAACACTAACTTATCATTACGAGATAATAAATGCTTTAACCTCGAGTCCTTTTTCGCTTTAAAGTTTTGGGCAAGTGGAAATATTGTTTGGGCAAGTAAATTGAAAACCCACTTGCCCGACAGGGCAAGTGGTGAAAAAAATTCTTGTAGCACCCTGAACAGGATTTGACAAAACTTGAATCAAAGCCTTGATTTGTACTAAAACAATGTAACTGAATTATCTTACTTGGGTGATGCAATTTAAAAGTAATCTTACACTGCACAATGACAAATCTCTTATGGGACATTTTACTTTTATTTTAAGGAATATAATTATTTTTTCTTTGTTTTCTTTGTTTTTGAAAGAAATTTGTTACATGTCTTAGAAAATTATATTTCCTGTATGTCTATACAGTTCGTCCCAGAAAAAACGAAACCCAGAATTATCAATATTTTATAATAACAATTGTAATTAATAAATGACACATTTTTGTAAAGCTTAGATCCTCCTCTTTCATTTGATGCAACTCATATGATGCATATTTCATGCACGACTAATTAAAAACAATTTGAAGAGAGGGTACCAAAAAGTCATTTGGCAGGCGGTTTCTGAATTTTAAAGAGAAAATCCCATTTCTAGAAAGTACATTTTCTGCCCTTTCTGCCCTTTCTGCCACACCACACTAGTCACTGCCCCTGATCCACCCCCCCCCCCCACGACAAGCAAACTTCTGAGTTGTACTTTACTTAATGCAAGAAGTTTGCGTTCAAAGATACCTGAACTTGAGTCATATATATGCACCACCAAACCAGATATCATTTGTATAAACGAGACATGGCTTACTGAAGATATTTATGATGCGTCACTGGGGTTTCCGAATGAATACCTTGTTTTTCGACGTGATCGCGCTGATAATCGACGAGGAGGGGGTGTTCTGCTGGCACTCCATCGGCATCTGAAACCCGACCGGAAGAGCATCCACAACGACACCTTAGAATTAATCTGGGCCACGTTCAAGAATGGCTCTGACTCGTGGCTTATTGGCGTTCTGTATAGGCCTCCAAACAGCAACGCATCATATTGGGAGTTGCTACAAGCTGAGCTGGATTCTGTGAAACCCGATGACTACGATGGGCTTCTTCTCCTAGGGGACCTCAACGTCGACATGTCCCCTAATGTTCTTTCAAACAACCGGACCCATTTGTCATCTTTCATGAATGACTTCGATCTCACTCAAATGGTAGCTTCTCCTACTCGTCTGACCGCTACGAATGTCTATTCAGGGTCACTCATAGACTTAGTATTGACCAATCGTGACCATGCCATAACAAATGTTCATACTATGGCCAATCCTGTGGAATCGGACCATTTGGCTGTTTGCGTTCGTCTTCGCTCATCGCAGCCCGCTCCAATGCCTTCTGTTCTCCGGTCTTTCCTACATGTCAACAAGGGAGACTTTGACCACCTGCGGACTCTTCTTCATCTCATTCCCTGGAACTCATTTCTAGACCCTTGTAATGTTGAAGAAAGTTTTGAACTATTCTTAGATCTTTTTAATGCAGCAATTAAAGAATCGATTCCACAATCATCTAAGCGTAAATCCAAATGCTCACCATGGATCACAGCTGAACTCAAGAAACTTATTTCTAAGAAACACTGTCTGTTCAGAAACGTTAAAAGAA